ATAGTACTGTCAAAAATTATAAGACCACCCGATATGTTGAAATTTTTGACTTTCTGGCATGTTCTGAACTGCATCCTCGAACAAGCTTCAACATGAAATATATATTTCATATTATGCATCAAAATTCCCTAAAGTTGCTTTATTTTCATTTTAAAAAAGATTGCATTAAAAAAAAGCGACTTTTCATGTGAAAAATTAAAAGACTATTAAATGTTTTGGTTAGTGTTCTTAGCCAAAACGGTCACTTATGTTTCAAATAATCCTGTACAAGCACAAGACCATAAAAATATTCATTTGCATTGACTATAATCTATGCTTTGTGCCTAGCGACGTTAAAAAACAATCTGGCAGCAAGCAAAATAGCTTTCAAACTATCCTAGTAACGAAAACAATCACTGTACGAGTTCAAAGAGAAGAAAAATTGCGAATGCATTTAAAATCGATGCAACGGGATTCGCAACGCGACATCGGGATTCACACTGCGACAAATAGCGAGTCGCGCTGACTCCCGTCGCGTAAGCAAGAATCGCGGCGCGACAATGTTAGTGTACGTGGTTCTATGCAAGATTACATCGCGAGAATAGCAAATATACATCCCATTCAGTAGTATATCGCGACAAAATAGCGATCGTTAAAATCGCGTCTTATTTCGCGAGTCGCGCCGCGATTTCATCGCGAAAGTTGACTTGGGTAGCGGAAACAGAAACAACTCCAAATGGTTTGGCCGATCAATTTAACCAAACGCTCAGTGACTCTCTTGATCTACCAGTAAAACGGCCAAAATCGAATGCAAATGAAGAACAGGCATCCGACAAAGAGGATATTGACGATGACGACGACAATATTCAAATGACTTATTCAAAAGTGGCAACAACTTCTAAAGTACGAATAATTTTCGGTGTATCTCTTCATGAGATATGAAACATAAGAGATAATGTTAAATTCAGTATATGCATCTTCGGTTTTAGGTTACTCATGAACAGGGTAGAGTGGAGTGGGGTAAATTGGCACGAAATTCTACCACCTTGCAGTATTTTAATCGTAATTCTCTTAATTTTTG